CAAACACACAACAAAGGGTTTCTGATATGTCTCCCACAACAACCTTTCCTTCATGGGAATACATATCCATTTTGTTGTTATCATTATACTTATTCTATTCCTGCTCTAAGATATTCTTGTGATCTGGAGAGTAAATAATTCATTGGTTATTATTGAGAGTCCTGGTATGACTGTGTAGGATAAGTAGTGGACTGCTGACCACAAGGATGGAGGTTCAAACTCACCAACGCTCCTATGAAACCCTATATAGGCTCGCTATGAATTGGAATCAACTCCACAACACTAAACATTAGTTGTTGAGTTGAAGCCGTCATGGCAGCCCCATGAGTATAGGAGTAAAACTGTACTCCATAAGGTTCTCAGTGATTGATTTTTCAGAAGTACGTATTTTTTTGAAGTACAAGACTTTCTTCTGAGGAGGATCTCTGGACACAAACTTCCAACTTTTCTGTTAATATCTAAGCATGTTAACTGCACCACCCATGGACTCTAGGGCACCTATCAAAGAACCTAAACTCTGGGCTTGTGACCATGACAGCGTGGCCTTCTTGCTGCGTTACTCTTGAAAAGGGGGTAAGTAAGTACACAGTTGTGGCGCTGTACTTTATATGATTTACTAATTCCTCCACCCACTTGTCTTACTGATCCCAGAAGTATGTATTGAGATTATACCTCCTTCAGCCTGGGCTCCAGAGTGATTAAAACCCACTCAGCAATAAGCAGAGCCCACCACAGACAGACCAAGATGAACATATAGTTTAAGGTACTGCAAAAATGGCATCACGAAGGTATCTGACCGCTCCTAAATTCACAAAGGGTAAGAAAAATCAAGATGAGTAGACCACAACTGATTCTTAAGAAGTGGAGGTCAGTCCGAGACATACCACTTTTCCAACCATTTCACCAATTCTGACACCAACCATGCCTCCCACAGTACTTCCTGCTTGTCTGCTGGGTTTGATGGTCCACTGCAATGGGCACACCAAATTCAGACCATACTCACCATTGTGGGGTACAACTCAGGTCAGAAAGAGTTCAGAAGTAGAAAGAACTCTGGGCAGTTCTTGATCAGGACAGCTTCTTCTCATCCTCTGCTCCTGGGTCCTGCTCAGGCAAGTGTTACAATGCCCACCACAGGCATCTCACACACGTCTCTTGCTTCTTGCCTCTAACACCATTGCTCCCTTTCTCTCCTATCTAGGTTCTCAGTGCAAGCACCCACTTTCTAAAGGATGTGCTTTGCTCCCATCTCTTCTTATTGGTAGAGAGGTCCCTCCTTTTTGCCTCTAGGTTGGCTCATTTTAAGGACCAATCCTCTTATTAAATGAGGGCCCCATAGCTCATTCGCAAGGTCTCACCTGATCATTTGGTGGGACTTACAAGACCATGGTTACAAAGGTCATGTAAGTGATCCATCACATTGCAGGCACTTAGAATTTGACTGTTTTCTCAACATTATAGGAAATTATTAGCTTCACTGTGATTCCCTGGGAGGTAATCTGCTCTCCCAGTTTCTACTCCAACTCAAACAAAGAGAGGAGTTCCTTCTCCCTTAGTTTTGTAATTCACTAGAGTACACACTGCAATTTCATTTCAAAATGGAATAGGAAAGACCACCAAGACGCCAGAGCCAATCTGTCTAGCTATCATATGGTACTCTACCACTTAACTAGTTAGCTGAATGACCTAGAGGAAATTACATTACCTGTTTTATTTGTAAAGTGGGAGAAGTAATTTTATTTGCTGCAGTTATATATGCCTGTATAAGAAACCATCCCCAAACCGAACGAGGTCAACCAACCATTTATTATGCTCAGAGTCTGGGTCCAAATAATGTTCAGGGTACATTAGGAAGGCTTGTGCCTCCTGCCCATGACTGAGGCCTCACTTTGATTCAAAGGCTAGGACCTAGAATTATCTGGAGGTTTATGCTCTCACACACCTGGTGGCTGATGATGGCTGTTGACTGAACCCCAGGCTGGGGCTGTCAGTCCATACTCCTGCATAAGACCTCTCCATGTGCCTCAGGCTTCCTTGCACATGTCCAAGAAAGACAAACCCAGGGCACTCTCACCTTGTATGACCTAATCGCAGTCTATGACCTAACCCATCACTCAGCCTTGCTTCCACATGATCTAATATTTGAGGAAAACTCCTGCCTGGTCCAAAGAGAGAAGTGGGGAATAGATTACCTACCTCAAGAGAACAGCATGACTTTGGAAGAGCATGAGACCAGAAATGCTTGTATAGAAATGTAATTTGTCACACTACCTAAGATTAAATGATTTAATACATAAAAAGTGCATTCTAAACGTAGAACAGCATTCTAAAAGAACTTGGTATCATTGATTTACCCAGCACACAGGTTGAGAACCCTACAGAGCCGTCTCCCTCACGGCTTCCAGTCTGTCTTCTCCTGGGTAGTTTTATTTTAGAGACTCTGGGAATCTCTTCTCCGACCAAACTAAGGTAACCCCAGTGAATTACAGAGCAGGCTCTGAGTTTATAGGCTCAACAAAATATTCACACAACAGCCTGACACCAGTAAATTTCCCATCAAGTGTTCAACATAAAGGCTTTTGAGGCTGGAACATCATTGAATGTGGGGAATTCGTTTCTTTTTAGTTTTCCTCACTAAGGGTTAAGGTAAGGAGAGCTTATGTAAATTAAGAGAATGCAGTGGCTCCATAGGATAAGCATTGAACTGTGAGCCTGAGGTCAGTGGTTCCAGAAAGATAAGGCTTTCTGTTCCTGCAGATTTACAGCCACGAAAACCTTATACAGGGTCACTATGAGTCAGAACCAACTCGATGTCACTTAACCAACAATTGTTAGTCAAGATATTATACCTGCATGTCTACAATTGTATTTTTATAGCATGAGCTGTTAGAAAAATGTTTACAAAACTGTTTGAAGACAATGGTTGGATTTTAGGTCATTTTTTGAATTTTTTTCAGTAGAAGTACATCGTAGTACCTTCACTAGAGTACCTTTTTTTATAGTAATTGAAGCAGTTGTGTCCTGGTGTGGTACTGTACGGTAAGTACTAGGCTGCTAACCAGAGAGCCAGGATCCAAACCCACCAGTCGCTCTTCATAAATAGGGTCGCTGTACGTCAGAACCAACTTAACAGCACTTAACAGTAACAAAGCAATGAAATAAACCTCCAAGAAGTAAACATCTTCTAGGATGCTTAGATGAGGCCTAAAAGGCAGGAAAAGATCAGCTAACGCTCTCTTAGGTTGTGACATGGTTTTCATTAGGAGTGCTATTTGGTATAGACACAAAATACTTCCTTCCTTACCATTGAATTACCAATTATCAAAATGGTCAAGGAAATCAGGCTTGTACAAAACACTATTCACCCATGTGTATATGACCCAGGGATCTAATTTCTTCACGACTTTTACTATTTTTGCTACAGCTATAATTAAGCTGCAGGGTAAAGTTTGCTGACATTAAACTGGTTTAACTAAGTATCTCTACTATAAAGCATCTGGGTGGTGTTCAAATATGGCAGATTCCACTGTTGTTGTTGTTAAGTACCGTGGAGTCGGTTCCGACTCAGTGACCCTACACACAGGGTTTCTGAGGCTGTAAATCTTTATGGGAGCAGAATGCCTCATCTTTTTCCAGTGGAACTGGTGGAAGTTTCGAACTGCTGACCTTGAGGTTGGCAGCTTGACTTGTAACCACTACGCTACCAGAGCTCCTTAGTCACTAAAAGTTAAAAATCTGGAGCCAACACCCATGCCTCCAAAAACTGGCATTCTGTGGTTTATACCAACTTTTTTTTATCAACTATCTAGCTATCTGACATTTTGCATTTACGACAGTAGTTTTAAAAAATTTACTATCCAACTATGCTGATCATTACAATGTACATTTGCCCATAACAAATGCTGAGGTGCAAGGCAATAGTCACACTGGCCATGATAATCTTCATTTGCACATTAACACCAATTTTTAAATTACAACCTGGTTTTTGGAACCTAACCATGTCGATAAGTGAGGAGTTGGATATATACTACATCTTAATTGGTAATGTATCTGTGAAATCATTATCAACCAACTTTTCCAACACATTGTTGTTACCTACTTTGCTTGACTGAGTGAAGTCCTGGTGTGGGGCTGTGGGTTAATGCGCTGAACTTCAAAGTCGGTTTGAACTGCAAATTTGGCGGTTCAAGGTCACCAAGCTACTCCTTGGAAACCCTATACAGGGTGGTTAATATGAATCGGAACCAACTCGACGGCACTTAACAACATATCAATATATAAGCCTAGAACCAAATCATTCTAGGTTTAAGTACCTGGACACCTGGACACAAGATTATCATGACAGTTTCTCAGCTTCCTTGAAGACACTGAAGGCTTACAACTAGCCTCAAAAACCCCCGATCTACCAACTTAACAGCTAAATTCCCACCTCATACTCCCATCAGGCTGTCTTATGCACCAGCAATTCCTCTTCAAAACTCCAACAGCTAAATTCTCCAGTAAAATGTATCTCTGAATAACAAGCAATGAACATTCCAATAAAAACCTGTTAAATGTTTCCTTGCTAAGCCATCTCTTTACCAAACTAGGCTAAAAAATGCTTGGTACAAGTTAATCCTCTAGAATGTTTAGTGCTGTCAACTCGATTCCAACTCATAGTGACCCTATATAGGGTTTCCAAGAAGCCGCTGGTGAGTTTGAACTGCTGACCTTGTGGTCCAGTGTATTAATCCACAGCACCACACCATGACTCCTCTAGAATGGGAGTCAGAAAACAACAGTCTCTGGGTCAGATTCCACTAAGGAGTCATGAGTGATAAAGCTACAGTGAGAACAAGGACTAGAAGAAGACCACATCTGCATGAGGCCTAAATGTGTTCTAATGTATTCCTGCCAGCAGCGTGCCAGTGGACTTTTGGAAACATCAGACAGCTTTCCCTGTTCCAAGTTCACTTATACCTTACTAGTGAAAGGGGTTACAAGAATTTAAATGACTATTACAATGTTTTAGATTTTAAGTTAAGACTTTTATTTTATTTTTTTGATCCCAAGTAAGCCTGGGTGGTTGACTCATTGTTCCCAGAAACCAGCTGCCAATCCTCCTGCCAGTCCTCCTACTCCTCACAGGAAGAAATACTGATTTTAACTCTGCCATTTAAAGAGCACTTAAGCTTTGGCAGCTGACTTGTAATGGGACAGTGTGCGGGCAGAAGGGTCAGTGGCGTTGATCCACTTGGGCATCCAATAATGGGTCAGCCAGGATGCACGGCCTGGGTAGTGGCGTTCAAATATCTGACGGTAATAATAGCCTTCTTTTGTTTTAGGAGTATTGAAGGGAAATTTGTCTGCGGCAGATGCCATCATTGAATCATCAACCTGGAAGAACAAGAGGATAAGAGCAAAGCAGTGTTTGTGAGAGTCCTTTGGAATCATCCATTACTTAGAAAATCAAAGAACCCATAATATACACAGCTGTAGTGACCTTTAGGGGAGTGCAGTGATTATGTAGGATAAGCACTGGACTTCGAATCACAAGGTCGATGGTTTGAGCCTAACAGTCACTTTGCGGGAGAGAGATGAGGCTTTCTGCCCCTACAAAGATACTATTCCATATACCCTATACAGGATCGCAGTGAGTCAGAGCAGACTCAATGGCACTGCAACAGTGACTTTTAAGAAACTTTCACATGCATATTACTAATACGGGTGGCTCTGAACACCTGATACCTACTACGAATCCAAATGTGTTAATTTCAACTCTAGATACTACTTTATAATCCTTCATACTACTTAATTCATATATAAAAAAAGTATCATTTATAGGAACTGTGGACCTCTCCTAGAGACAAAAATATTCACACTAAATACAAAATCGAGAGTGACTACAACTCTTGCATCCAAACATTATTCCTCAACATGTTTTAAAAGATGATATACCTGATGTTCAACATAGTCTTGTAAAATCTGAAACCAAGAATTCTTAACGGAGGTTATTCCATCACTGAAAGCTTCCTTTGGTCGCCAAAGAATCTCTTTCGGTAGCAATTTAGAGTCCTCAAATGACTCTCTCAGGAGATGTTTCTCTACTCCTTGCTGAGAGGAAGACAAAAAGACATAGCAGTAAAAGTTACAAATAAAACCTGATGCCCACGAGCAGCGCTCACCTGGAATGGATTCACCTACCTTTGGAATCCTCATTTCTGGGGGCAGAGACAAGTAATAGGAAGAAAAGCGATGATCCAGAAACGGGACTCGCAGTTCAAGGCTCAAAGGAAAAAAGAAAATCTCAGTCAAAATGGACACGTGGTGCCTGTCCACTTAGACTGTGATTCAGAGTGTCCTCAAAATTCAACCAAGTTTAAGTGTGCTAAGACTGCAGATTTATAGTCATTTCTACAGCACTTCTGACTGTTAACAAAATGTGAGACTAAAACAAACTCTAGGTAGTTTTAACCTATTACTTTCCCTTCTATGAACAACTAAATGAGTACATCACAAGGCAGAAGTAATCAAGAAGCATGAGCAATCTGATCATTAACAATGTACCTTACCTGGACTGTTCTGACTCAAGGCTTTTATTCCAAGTGAGACCTACCCTTGCCCTACAAACACAGAAAGAGGGTGGCACGTGCACACCCCCAAACCGGATTGTAAGGCACCCAGTGTTTTTCACTACAAACTAATGAATAATTCACAGATAATATGCAACATAATATTGTGTGTGCACCCCTACAACTGGATTGTAAGGCAACCCAGTGTTTTGTCACTACTAACTAATGAAAGATTCATAGACAATATTCAACATACGCCAACATTGTACAGTATTTCATCAAATGCTGCACTGACTCCTGAATTCTAGTTCAGTCTTCAACTAGAATAGATATACAGCAAAAGCAAAGAAAACATTTAATGTTAGTTGTTTATTATGCCTTCAGTTCTCTAACATGACCAAGCAAATTGAAAATTTCAGCCAATCAGAAACGGTGCCAAAGAAACATGGCTTCTAAATAGCCTGCACTGCCTTGTCCCCACAGAGTCACCAGAGCATCACATAGGGGTGGCAGGTGCTCAGCACTTGTTCCATAGAGACAGATTAGACTTCTCCATAAAAAAAAAAAACAAACACTTAAAAATAGCTGCAACTGCCTTCCCTCTTGATTGTTCAGATGTGAGCACTACATTATGCTTTAAAGATGACCTCTTGATCTAAAACAATCTAATACCTCACCACAACCATGACAACACTTTGAATTTAACCTAATTTGGGGCCTAAGTTAAGAGACAAGCTTCCTTAAAACTATATAAGTCATGTCATACTTTGTAACATATGGCCACAAAAATTGGGCAAAAGAAACAAACAAAAAAAAATCAGTCCTTAATTTTTTTTGTTGTTACAGTTACTTAATATTGAGTTACCCGTGGGCAGCAGTAGTTCGATCTGCACGGAGAACATCAAATAAATAGAGTTCCTTCAGGAGCCTCTCACTCTCTTCCTCAGCTTTTTCAGCAGAAGGAGCCTATTTTACAAAGACACAGGAGAAATTCCAAATACACAAACAATTTCTTCCTTGGTACACACAAAATAGCTTTTAGACCTCACTGTTACTTACACATATTCCAAAACTCTAAAAGTGGGTAAAGAAAATGCTAAACAAAACAAGTTAGGAAAGAAAGGGCTGAAAATAGGTAAGCAATTCTTTATAAATATGTCTTCTCTCACACCAAAACTGTTAACTTTAAAACAAAATCAACATATTGAGCAAGAGCCGTAATTCAAGTTAAGTGCTGTTGTGTAGGTTGCAACTCACAGCAACTCTGTATAGGATTTCCAAGGCTTTAAACCTTCAAGGGAGTAGAAAGCCTCATCTTTCTCCTGCAGAGCAGTTGGCAGCCTCGAACTGCGGACCCTGAGGTTCGCAACCCAGTGCTTATCATATGGAGCCACCATGCTCCCACAATTCAAGTAGAGATTGAGAAATGCCAGAAAGCGATTCTGATGTTTAACTTGTTTTAAGAAATGAAAATTATATTAATAATATAAAAGACTTCTCACCAAGAAAAATTTAAAACAGAGACAATCAGGTTTCTCCACAAACTTCACCAGAGAATTTTTTATTTTTTAAATGACTGTTAGACTAAAAGTACACACACACACACACTCAAAATACTATAGAATCTGAGGAGGCTTCAAAAAGTTCTTGGAAAAAACATCTCGTGGGAATGAATGGTTGGGCCTGGGGTCTCAGGATCATAGTTTCGGGGGACACGGTGGTCACCTGACATAGCATAGTCCACAAAAACAATGATGTCCATCCTATTTCAGTGAGTAATGATGGGTCTATAAAAACTCGTGAGCAGCCACCTAAGGTGCAACTAATATTTTGTCTCCCTGTCTAGAGGATACAAGAGTGATGGAATTTGAAAATGCATGGAAATGATTAGTCCAATGGACTAATGGATGTGAACCAGACCATGAGACCAGAAGAACCAGACGGTTCCCAGCTACCACTACCAACTGCTCTGAAAGGTACCACAGTAAAAGATCTTGACTTGGGTGTTGTTGTTGTTATGTGCCATGGAGTCGATTCCAACTCATAGCCACCCTGTACAGGTTTCCAAGGCTGTAAATCTTTACGGGAGCAGCTGGTAGTTTTGAACTGCTAACCCTGAGGTTAGTAGCCCGATTCATAACCACTACGCTACCAGAGCTCCTTTGACCTGGACAGAGGGGGAGAAAAATGTGAAACAAATGTGAATAGGTTTACTGGTCAGATAGAGACTGGGAGAACCCCAAGACTGTATGTCCCTTGGTAACTCTTCAGTCTGGAACTGAACTCACCCCCATGGTTCAACTGTCACTCAAACAATAGATCTATGAGGGGAACAATAAGACTAGTGAAGTACAAACACCTTAGAATAAACAACCATTTGAGATAAAAAAGGGTAGCATTTACACAAGACGAGTTCAGAAGGGTTAGGAAAGAAGGAGGATTGGAAATAAGAAAACCCTGTGGTCGAAAAGGATAAATGATGATGTTATACTGAGGGGATTGCAATCACTGAGATGAAACAAAATATGTATAAAATTTTAATGTACTCTACTCTGTAAACCTTCACTCAATTCACATGAAATTTTTTTTTAATATCACATCGAAACAAATTTGTGGAAAATTGAATAAAAAAAAATGAAAAATGTCCACAAACATTTAAAGCCCCCTTGAATAATAAATAGTCAAGTAAATTCCTACTTTTATTAATCAAACACCAAGATCATTCCATTACAGAATATTTACCTTATGAAAATATATGTAGCCCTGTGTAAGTTCATCTGAGCCTTCTCCAGAGAAGATCACCACACTATCTGTGTTCTTCCGAATATACTTGGAAATTAAATACATACCTTAAAAAGGGAGAAAAATTACTGTGAATGTCAACCCTCCCACAAAAAATGTCTTTTATTTGGTTTTTGGGAACAACTGAAAACATTGCTATTAAATTGAATTTTTTATTAATATAGTATTCCAAAATAATGGCACATCTAATATTATTTAGACATACTTTATCCAAAAGTAGTACTACTGCAATAAAATAACCTAGAAGCATTCCACAATTTTATAAGTATATTTCAAAATCGTAATGTCTTTAGAACAAGAACGCCTCCACTTGAAATTTTGCTAAACTAAACAATGACTCAAATAGCTAAGAATCATACTTTCTATATGGGTATTAATAGGAAAAAAAATACTAAAAGGTGTAATTTTGGCACTTCAGTTAAATGATTGTTCCTGCCACTCCCCACCCACCAATCACACATATAACTGATACGTTACAGATCAAATGCCTAAGACATAACCTGCTTGGTTCACACATATAACCCCTCTTCTTCAGTCGGTTTTCTTCTCAATCTCCTTTTGTTATTGCCCCCATGTAAGGAGGCTTTAACACTCTACCCTCCTCAGCCATGAAATGTTAACAGCACATATATACTCTGTAACTATTTATGTACAGTGTTCATTTGGAAAGTCACAAATCATTATAATACGTAGGATGTTCTCACCCTCTAAGAACCAGTTTTTGTTCCTTTGAGGACAATATTACCACTGTGGTTAATACATGCAATAGAATCCCATCAAATTCTGCTTATCTTAGGAAAATATAACATAGAAGCATGAGCTTCAAAAAGTTCGTGGAAAAATTCCATTATCTTTGTATTTTCCCACAAACTTCAAAAGCCCCCTCAAATTTCCTCATTTTATTTATAAAGAGAAATTCAGGGAAGTAAGTAGAAAAATATCACCCAGTCTTTGGGGTAATATAGTGATAACATAAATGTGGAGGTTTAGTTAAGTTTTTATTGTTCCCTTACTCCAAAAGAGATTCAGGCAATTCTTAAATGGTCTTAAACAACTGGTAACATAAGAGTGTATTTATAGTCATTCTTGAAGTGTTTTTAAACTGTTGTTTGAAATAGTAGTTTTTAAACCCTTATTTTTCTTCAGTATTTTTTTAAAAAAGTCTTTTTACTATCATAAAACACCTTACCTACTGAAGCACGAACTGTTGTAATGTCATAAGTTTCCAAGGAAAATATGACTTCATCCAGGGCCTGTATTCCTTCCTCGGAATTAAAGAGGACCTCATGGTGCTCACTCCCAATGTGGTCTGCCACCTGGTTATATGTGAAAACATCCATTCATTGGTTATTAAAAGAGCTAACCTTTCTTTCAATAAAATGAAAGTACCACACAAAATAGGGGTCTTCAAAAAGTTTGTAGAAAAATTAAATGAAAGATAATTTTCCCCACAAATTTTTTGAAGCCACCTCCTTATATATATTAACACATAAACAGCTACTGTCAATTCTATTCTGGCTCATGGAAACCCCACATGTGTCAGAGTAGAACTGTGCTCCAATAGGTTTTCAATGGCTGATATTTTATAAGCAGATTACCAGATCTTCTCCAGAGGCATTTGAGTGATCTTGAACTGCCTTTCGGTCAGCACTAGAGCATGTTAACCATCTGCACCATTCAGAGATTCCCAAATTAAAACAAAAAAATAGCAAACTAAGGGGCACTAATCCTGCAGGTCATCACCTATAAGCTCCAGCTTCCCCATCTCCTCCAGTCTCTCAGTCTCCATTTCCCCACACAGAGACAGACAAATCTCCCATCTTGTCTTTCTATTCCAATAGCTTCAATTTACTTGTCTAGAGGCTCCCAACTAGCCACAATTCACCCCTATTTTACATATCCTACCCCACCTCTTTCTAGTCCAGGATCGTCCAACTCTAAAGCTATCTTTCTTTGTTGATGTTGCGTGCCATGGAGTTGGTTCCGACTCATAGCAACGCTGTACAGGGTTTCCAAGGCTGTTAATCTTTATGGGAGCAGAATGCCTTATCTTTCTCCAGCGGAACAGCTGGTAGTTTCGAACTGCTGACCTTGCAGTTCGCAGCCTGATTGGTAATCACTATGCTCCTTAAACGCTTGCTTTTACATCCAGGAAATTATTCCTTTGTAGCCTGGTCTCCCCTCATTCTACCCTCTCACACTTATCAATCTGCTTTGGGCAGGTCTCCAGCTCCCACTCAGCCATTGTATGTAAACTCATCCAGGATGGAAAATCAGATCTCGTTCATAATGAATACGTACAAGGCCCCCCTTTGCCTCCAACCCTAAACCTAAAACCAAAAGAAAACATTGCCGTCTTTGAGTACAAGTAGCCAGCCTGTTGTTGTCAATAAGTGCCTTCAGTTGGAGTCAGTTCATATGCACAGCAAAGGGATCCCAAGGATCCACTGGTGGATCTGAACTGCCCTATAGGACAGAGTGGTGTTCTGGTGTGGCGCTGTGGGTTAATGGGCCAGACTCCAAAGCCATCTGAACTGCAAGATCAGCGGTTCAAGCTCACCAGGGGCTCCTTGGAAACCCTATACAGGTTCGCTATGGGTCGGAACCGACTCCATGGCACTTAACAACAACATAGGACAGAGTGGTGCTTTGGGTTAATGCGCTGAAGTGCAAGGTTGCTTTGAACTGCAAGGTTGGCAGTTCAAGCTCACCAGCTGCTCCTGGGAAACCCTATTCAGGGTCCTTATGGGTCGGAACTGACTTGATGGCACTTAACAACAACAACCACATATGATAGGGTAAAAATGCTCCCAGAGACTTTTCCTAAGTTAGAATCTTTACAGAAGCCAAATGTTACAAGCTACAGAATAGCTCATGGGTTTGAACTGCTGACATCTTGGTTAGCAGCGGAACACTTAATCACAGAGCTATCAAGGCTCCTTACAGGCTTAACCACAAGCTCCCAATCAAATCCTCAGCCATGAAGTCAATTCTGACTCCCAGGGAAGCTGTATGAAGAAACAGAACTGCTCCATAGTGTTTCCAAAGCTGTCAATCTTTATGGAAACAAACTGCCGTGTCTTCGTCACCTTTCAGATAGTAGTCAAGTGCTTAACCATGGAGTCCTGGTGTGGTGCTGCTGATTAACATGCTGAACTGCAAGTTCAATGTGAACCAGGTCGGCAGTTCAAGCTCGCCAGCTGCTCCTTGGAAACCTATACGAGGTTGCTGTGAGTCGGAAGCAACGCTACAGCACTCAACAACAAAAAACCTAATCATAGATCTTTACAAATATTAATAGTAATATGATAATTAACACTAAGTAGTTAGTACAAGCTAAGGTCTATCCTGGAGTCCTGGTGTGGTGCTGTAGGATAAGCAATGGATTGCTAGCCACAAAGTAGGTGATTCAAACCTATCAGCCATTCCTCAGAAACCATATACAGAGTTGCTATCAATTGGAACCAACTCAACAGCACTTAACTAAAGAACAAGGCTCTGTCCTAAGCAATTTCTATAAACTGTAACAGTTCCTCCTCAAAATGATCTCATAGCAGATACTATTACTCCCATTACATAAGTGTGGCAGTCAGGAGCTGACACTAGCACAAGCTTCAAAGCCTGCAATCGTAACCACTTCACTATACCCTTACTTGATTTCAAAATCATTGCCACAGTGATTTTATGAGAAACTCATCAATCATGGTACATAAAAGTATCTAGAGTACAGTGTACCACACAGTTGATATTCAATAGGTATTTTATACTACCTAATATATTTTTAATTTAAACAATTACTGAAGTCAATGCAGTAGCAGAATTACAGTACAAATTAATATCTTGATTTTCATTCTAATAATAAAACCATGTTAACTACATAGCAGGCGGAGATGGGTTCTTACTTTTCTAGCAGCCTGTAAATCTGGACTGTCTTCCATGCCGATTGCAAATGTCTGGAGTGGATATTGAACTTGGGCCTCTTTCAGCTGCTTCAACAGGGTGGCAGCAACCAGGCTAGAATCCAAACCTCCTATGAGCAAAACAGCAATTGCACAGTTGGTTACGTGCCTTGCATGAGATAGGGACAGATATGATGATATTTGCTATCTTGTTAAGCACTGAAAATGAATACATTTTGCCATATGAAATCCAAATTTTTGTAAACTGAAAATAAACTGTAAGAAGAGAAAAATATAACACAGAACTATGACAAGAATACAAAGCATTTGAATTTGTAAAAAATCACTACATAGAATTCTAAAGAGCACTATTTGGTGTTACATCCATAATATAACTATAACATAACTCTACTCTAATTTGCAAAATTAACCGGATACCATCACATCAGTTCCAATGCATGCAACCTCATGTTTCAGAGTGGAAGTGTGCTCCACAGGATTTTGAAAGACTGATCTTTTGGATGTAGACCACAGGGCCCTTATTCTGAAGTGCCTCTGTTGTTAACTGCTGTCACATTAATTCTAACTCATAGCAACTCTGCATAGGGCTTCCAAGGAGCAGCTGGTGGCTTTGAACTGCCAACCTTGTGATAAGACTGAACTTGTGGTCCAATGCTTATCCTACAGCGCAACACCAGGACTCCTCTAAGTGCCGTTAAGTGGATTCAAACCTCCAACCATTCAGTTAGCAGTTGAAGGTGTTAACAATTTATACCACTCGGGAACTCCAATTTGCATTGTTACTATTAAAACATTAAATGAACAGACCATCAATTATTTATATGCAATTTCAGGCTGAAAATGAAAAAAAATTAAATCTACAAGAGTCAAAAAATGACCTTGACTATTGTTGAAAAGTGTCATCAAGTCAGTTCCAACTCATAGCAACCCTGTATATAGTTTCTGAGGCACGGCTGGCGGATTTGAACTGCTGACTTTAAGGTTCAAACCGACAGTGAAGTCCATGATAAATGGAGAAAAGACTGAAGTTGTCAAAGACTTCATTTTCCTTGAATCCACTATCAGCACTCATGGAAGTAGCAGTCAAACTATCAAACAACGTATTGCATTAGGTAAATCCACTGTACAAGACCTCTTTAAAGTATTCAAGAGCAAAATTTGAGGACACAGTGTACCTGATCCAAGGCATGGCATTTTTAATTACCTCAGATGCATGTGAAAGTTGGTACGGACTAAGGAAGATGGTAAAAGACTTGATGCACTTGAGTATAGTGCTGGAGAATATTAAAAGTATCATGACTTCAGAAGAACAAACAAATCTGTGTTGAAAGAAATACAGTCAGAATGCTCCTTAGAAGCATCATGCTAAGTAGAGGGTCAGTGAAAAAGAGGAAGACCCTCAACAAGATGGACCAATACAGTGGCAGAGGCAATGGGCTCAAACATAACAGGGATTGTGAGGATGGCACAGTAGCGTTTCACTGTTATGCATACCGACCGACTCGTCGGCACTTACAACAAGTATCAAATACAGCTTACAGAAAATGAGCTTCTTCATCTTATAATGAAGGAAAGATAAATTTTGTAAGAAATATTTAGGCCACAATTGCAGAGGCAGTTACGAATCATTTAAGTTAAACAAATAACACTCAATATCACTTTAAATTCTGACTCACCTGATAAAAGGCAGCCAATCCTTCTGTCTGTCATCAAACGTTTCTTAACAGCATTGTTAAAAAGGATCCGGATGTTTTTCTTGACAGTTTCTAGTTCAAAACCTATAAACCCATAAGATAAATGAAAGAAGAGCTCCAGAAACGCGTGGGCTGAATTAATTATCTATGTATCGGGATGGCATGTGCTCCACGGTGGACTTCGCAACAGTAAACTGCCACCATCTCTAAATGAAACAGGAAGTTGGTCTTCAAACTTAAATCATTCTGGTGGTGTGAACGCATTTTTTTTCTCACTTGGTCAGGGATAGGGGACGGGTGGCTGGGTGTTTTTCGCATTACCTGGGGTCAGTTTCTCCACACTGTCATAGAGGGCATGCAGGGGTTCATCTCTACAGTGATGATATTTGACCATTTCCACAGATACAACTTTGCCATTGGGCTTTAAGTCCAAAGTTTCATAGTGTCCCGGAAGAAAAGGTTCTACTTTTAAAAATGAAGTCGTGGAGTGCTTCAAGTTACACAGACCTGCAGATCATTAAGATGTTGTTAGTCGCTGTCAAGCCAATTCAACCTAAAGATAACTCTATTCAAATTAGGAAGAATAAAACTTCATAATAACTTTCATCACAAATTAATGTCCTACACACATTCCTATTTTCCTTATAAATAAAATGACAAATCCATTATATAAGCAAATTAGGAGGAAAAAGGTTACACCTCAAGCCCTACTTACTAGAGAGTAAAAGTGGCATGGAGATATTCAGCAAAACTACACTGATTTCCAGTAATTCAAAGCAATATGAAATGCTCTAATGTTCAATTTCATCTCCTGATATAGGATTTCTGAACAAGGTAAATTAGTTTCTATAATATGCAAATTTGTATATAAAAGGAAAGAATGAACATTAAGACACATTTATGAAACAGACAGATAAGACTTGAAATTGCCCTGGCAGCCAATTTTTAGTTTTAGAAAATAGTCAGGGGGCGAGGGAAAATGAGGTTCAGAATTTCAAATTCTCATGGAATCTGGACTTTCTAGAGACACTGAGGCTAGATGAACCCCCAAAACTACTGTTCTGTAGTAATGCTTACATGTTAAACTTTATACCAAAAATATTCCTTGATATCTTCTTTAAACCTAATAATTTACCTTCATTAGTAAAGCATGTCTCTGCCTTGACTCTTGTGATCTGTTAAAGAACTGTTATAAGGGATATCAAACTGACATCAGTAACTTGAACGGTTAGACAGGATGCTTGAGGGGCAGTGAGCTTGTTAGTGAGGGAGGAACAATCCAGGAAAGGAGAGTGACGGCAGCTGCACAACTTGAACACTACAGCCTATGTTACTGAACTGTGAGTGTAAAAATTGCTTAACTGGTGTATGTTTTGCTGTATATACTTTTAACAACAATTCAAAAACAAAAAAGAAAGCAGCCATGATTCCCAGTCTTCAACATGCAAAACTGTATCGAAAGAATCCAGACATCTCTCCCATAACGACTTTTATACATTGTATCTGAATAAAACAAAATTTAAATTTCCTAAATAAGTCCTCACATTAAAAATAGGAACAACCAAGGTGACAGCACTCTGATCATTGGTACAAAACCAGTGTTTTACTGTAAACAGTAACAGCCTATGAAAACAGAATATTCATGATGATTTATAATTACTAGTTAATGAGTAATTTACCATGCACACTGAATTCAAGGAGCAGACAAGCAACCCAGATCATCACTAGCCAGATGACTCAAGAGAGCGCTCAATCGTATCAGAGGATGGGAAGACATTAAAAGGCTTTTAAAAACAAGGAAAAACATGGGCAAATGAGTTTCTGATAGGTTATTCTAAATCTTGGAAGAAGGGAAACTGTTGCAGTAAGAGTTACATGAGATCAGTCAGTCCCAGAAAGGCAAATGTTAAGAAGGAAACAGACACTGAAATAGAGTCAAGAAATTTCAGAGAGTAACTTGGATGTGAGATTATAATTCCATATCAAGTTATCAATAGGCCCAAGGAGACAGGAAGTAAAGAGTCTGCCTTTCTCTTGATCTTTGCTGATAGATCTTTGCTTCCCTGATAGAACTTTAGGTAGTTGATGAACACCCTTGTTCTCCATACTCAGATCACACTAGAAATGATAAAATGGACCAATCTAAGTGCCAGTTAATACTCCCACGGTGACTAGTGTCATGAGGACCTTGTTGTGGATCTCAGCAGTCTGGTTTCAGAGAACATCAAGTCTGACAATCGTGTGAGAAAAGATTTAAGGTGGAGTCCAAGATATTAACTGCTACCAAGATAAGATTTAAAAGTTAAAAAAGAAACATTTTCACCAAGTTTACTATTTAAAAATACTAAATAGTAGCTATGTTTATAACTATGGCACAGTACTATACTGCAGTAAGTACAAGACTAACCCTACTATGACAATATGTCAAAAGAAAATTTAAAGCTCACCAATTCTACTTGCGGATATATGTCCAAAAGAATTTGAAATCTGGAAATACAACCAGATACTTATATACCAATGTTTACTGCGGCTTTATTCACATTTGCTAATAGCAACAACTCAAATGTCATCACAGATAAATCAGATAAACAAAATGTGGTATATACATACAATGGAGTATCATTCAACCACTGAGAGAAATGAAGTTCTGATCCAGGCTACAACACCATGAACTTTGAAAACATGCTATGTGAAATCAACACAAAGTACAGATACTATATGATTTCATTTGTACAACACACCTAGAATAGGCAACTGTAGAGAGGCAGAAAATAGATTAGTGGTTACTATGGGTTAGAGGAGAGGGAAATGAGTTATTATGTAATGAGTAGAATTTCTGTTTGGGGTGATGAAAACATTTTGAAAATGAATAGCGGTAAAAGTTATACAACATGCTGAGTGAAGAATGCTGCTGGAGTGAATATACTCTACAAAATGGATAAAACGGCAAATTTTATGTCTATTCTACCACAATAGAAAGAAAACTTGTTAAAAAAAAAACACAAAACAATCTGTCAGATGTATGTGGTGGTAGAGCTAATAGAAAAAACAAAAATTGCCCAAACATTAAAGAAATATATGTTGTTGTAAGTGCCACTGACGCATAGCATTCCTTGTACAGGGATTCCAAGGAGCATATGTAATAAAAAATAAATAAGCAAAGTTAAAGGGTTATATGGAATCAAAGTGACAAAAAGACCCACACTATAATCTGATACTACTATACACCTTTTAGAACAGTAAAATGTAAAAGAATGACCAGTGGTGCAGATGCTGAGGAACTGTTAACTCATATACACCACTGGTGAGAATGAAACAAACTGTACAAGCACTCTGGAAAAGGCAATTTCTGAAAAGTTTACACTGCTATATGATCCAGCCTCAGTATTTACTCAAAAGAAATTTAAAAAAAGCATGCATTCATACAAAGAATAAAATAATAAGTAGAGGACTTATGACTCAAAATTTTGGATGGGTCCCTAAGGGTTCACAGATACAATTTAAAAGAAATCACAAACCCAGGACAATAATGAAAATCCACAGAAAAATCCTATCAGTACCTTTAGCTTCTGAACACACAGCCAAAAATCCATCTTCGGTCATGGCTTTGAACAGAGGTCTGACTCCATAGGTATCTCTGCCCAGGAATATTTTCTTATTTGCCGTATCCAGTAAAATGAACGCAAACACCCCATCCAACATCGAGACTGTCTGCTCAATTCCACCTTTGGCATAAAGATGAAGGATTATCTCGCCATCCACGTTGGTCTGGTATTCAAATCCAAACTGGCTTCGCAGCTTAAGGAAACAAGAGCAAAAGTTAAAAAATTAGAATCCATGTACATTCACTAATAATAGTTGATTGATCAGTACTCTGAACTCCTATAATCAGTCCATACACTTTAGTGATTTAGAAGAACTCTGGCAGTATCAAAATAGTCCATTAGAACTCTCTTGGAATTCTTTGCAAACTTGAGCTAAAATGGTGGCAATTTTAGTTGCATGCTAATAAACAGAATGAAGAGACATTGTTTCAGAATAATTAAGTCAAGGGATGGATATGTGTGTTATACAAATACTATATATATGAAAAAAATCCATTATCTTTTTTTTTAAGTTTTTATTGTGATTTGAGTGATAGTTTACATAGGATAACATTGGTTTTACACCATCGTTTCATTGCAATGATTACAATCTCCTCTGTGCATTAGCATTCAACAGTATTTACTTCTATTCCCTGTTTTTCTTTTTTTTTTTTTCCTCCTCCGTAGTGGGCCCCCTGTGCTTTACTACTCCCTCAACTTTTTAAGTCAAGAATATATAATAATTTGAACAACCAAAGGGCACACTCTGTAAGCCTGCCTCCTGGCTGCCAGCACTCAGTTTTTCTCTTTCCATGAATCTAGAGTCCTCAGATGCTATCTCTTCTCTCCATGTCCTCATCTCTGCCTCCATCTCTGGTGTTGCTGCTTCTCTGGATAGGGTCCCGCATTCCGCTTGTGCTCTTCTTCCTTGATGGTCCTAGGGTCCTCTGTTTCTGGACTGTAAGATTAACTACTCCCCTGTTTTCACAAAATTTCTACCTTTATAGTTGTGACAATCACAATTAGTCATGATAACAATTATTCACTACTGAATCATAAGAATCTTAGCCCCATCTCTTTTCATCAGACCCGTCTACACAAGATGAAAACTATTCAGTGTGGACTCTATCCCCCCAACCCCCATACACTCTTAAACTAAATTCCCTCTTAAAAACTTGTAAAACCGTCACTCTGTGCCTTTATAGCCCTCTCATTTTAGATAGCCAATGTCTAAGTTGCCCATCCCTATCTACCCTGTATACAGAGGAGATAGGATTTATAGTTTATGTGAAGAGTCCGTCCCTCTAAGTTGGTATTTTGAGATACTAAATCCATGAGTATAGGGTCAAGTTCATCAAATTGAAGCAATTTACACTTGTTTCCTTTATCAAAAATTGTTTTTTTAATCTTCCTCTAGTCGAGTTCTGATTATCAAGCCATCAAGGCTAAGTCAAATAGGTACTATCTGCAAGTTTGGGCATTCTTGTGCATCTCCCCTCACTTCATATCAGCTGGATGCTTCACTCTCAGCTCTAGCCCTCCATGACTATGTCCATGTCCATGGGCTCAGGAGTCCCCAGGTCTTATCACACTTCAGACCAACCAACCCTTCCTCTTCCCTCTCTTCTCCAGGTCAACAGGAGTCTATGGAACATGATTGAACTCAGCCCATGTCTTCATTGCTGCCTTTCCCCCTCTTCCACACACCAGTAGACCAACGTGGTCACCAGCAAGCTTACATTCCTGCCCGTGTGTTCCCTTTGAGTTTCAGTCTTGGAAGGGTGTTTGTCCTGAAGGGATGTGATTGCTTGCCGTGATGGCTCCCCGGCGAACAACTTGCTTTCTCTTGTAGTAGCCAATCAGAATGCCCTTTTGGTTTGGATTTTTCCTGCTGATCTTTCTTTCAAGAAGTATCTTCTGTTGCTCTAGCTATTTATTCCAGGATGGTCTGCTTGTTCTTTCTAGTGGGAATGTCCCACCTCAGAAGGTTCTGGATAGGGCTCAGGGCAAATCCATTAACTTTTAATTCCATTTTCCACAAACTTTCTGAAGTGCCCCCAATACTGTATATTTATATGTGGGTCCTGCTGTGGCACTGTAGGATCAGTGCCAGACTGCAAACCATAAGGACAGTGGTTGCAATCCACCAGATAGATACTCCTCAGAAAGCCTACACAGGGTTGGAACCATGTTGGAACCGACTCCAATCCAATCCACTCAATAACAACAACAGCAAAGTTAAGAAAATAGGTTGCCCAACTGCCACAAGTCTACAACTGGGTCTTTTGCAACTACCTATTTTTCAGTTTGGTGATAACGGTACTGACTAAGGTTCTTCCAGTTCAGCCTCAAAGATCTATGAAGCAAATGGCTAAAACATCTGCCATTCCCTGACAAATGACAGAAACACATGTTCGACAATGAAGCTGCTGATCCCCAGGTATGGGCTACAACATCCAGGTCTTCCACAGTAACACTAAAGCGAGTTCTCATTCAGAGATAAATGACACTGCTTTTTTCATTAGTCATGAGTCTTAAAGGAACAGCAAAGAGGCCATCACTTCCACTGCATGACAGTCAGAAGGTATGATGAATTTTGTGACTTGACATCACCAATAGCAAACTGGGAAGGGAAAAATCCTCAGTCTGCTCCTCTTCCTTGTACTTATACTCACATTTCTGTCTGACAATAGAAAAAGAGATTAATATACAAATTACGATAAAAGTCCTGGATATATTTAAAACATATTAAAATTTCAAAAGGGCTTTATATGCATATACATAGATAACATGTGAACGTGGCTCATAATTTAGCTCACTCCATAATTATTAGTCTCAGAACTGTCTAGAAATGGACTCAGGAGACCTCATGATTACAAAGCTATCTCCTGGTTACAAATTCTGAGAGTAACACGGATGACCCCATTACTAGCAGATGGGGCTTGGAAATAGTTTTCTGCTGACCCTTCTTGACTAAAGTACTTGGAGGGCACATGACCCTAAAATATTGTGTAATATTAGCAAGCAACAGCATCCCAAATCTAATTTATCTTCCCCTGTTTCACCACCTCTCTTTGACCTAAACCGTGCAGGTAATTTCTATGAGAGGAAAGTGATAAATGATTTCATTGTACGACTCTCTGCTCTCCTGAAGCCTCATCTTGGATTTTTTTTTTTTTAATGTGTATCTTGATGCAGCCCTAAAATCACACTGGCATTTGGCTTGTTTGTTGTAAAGCATGGGTCTCCTCTTGGCCCCAGCCTTTACTCTGATTCCGTCTCTCTTTGATTTTCTCCCACCTCTCTCTGAAGCAAAGTTCTGGCTGTACTTAATCATTATTATCAATATTTTTGGAGGCCTGGCATGGCGTAAGTTTGAACTGCAAGGTTGATGGTTCAAACTCACTAGTCATTCCTTAGAAACCTGATACAGGGTCACTATGAGTCAGAACCAACTCAATGGCAATTAACAATAGCAACAATAATATTTGACTTTCATAAAAAAACTTTTTTTAAAAAAGGGGCTTAGGCATTTTGGTTCCAGAACATTTCACTTAATCCTAAAATATACATTCTACTTTTTAAACAGACTTCTAGCTGCTCAAAATACAAAAGCTTAGATGCTTGACAGAATTAATGGAATGGCTTTGCTTTTAAAAATAAGACAAATGTTGCCATTTTAGAAATGTTTTGAAAATACTTAACCTTTTATAGTTTAACAAAATCATCAAAAGCAGTAATATCATCCAAGCGAAAACTTATTTCCTATCTGAACAAGGCCATAATAAAATCCAACATTCTCTTATATATATTGCCTACATATTGACTGGCAGGTTCTTGTCAAATTCTGCCTCCTAGGGTCGGAATCTCTATCCCCTTATCCAGTTCCAGTCTGACTGGAGGAGACCCATATTTGTGCCCAGTCCAGAGACATGAACCAACAGAATACGGAAATCAACAAACAATATCATTACTATCATATGCAAGTAAAATTTTGCTGAAGATTATTCAAACACAGATGCAACAGTACGTCAACAGAGAATTGCCAGAAATTCAAGCTAGTTTCAGAAGAGGATGAGGAACTAGGGATATCATTTCTGACATCAGATGGATCTAGGCTAAAAACAGAATATCAGAAAGATGTTTACTTCTGCTTTAGTGACTACGCAAAGGCATTCATATGAGTGGATCATGACAAACTATGGATAATATTGAGAAGAATGAACATTCCAGAATAGTTCATTGTGCTCATGAGCAACCTGCACATAGACCAAGAAGCAGTCATTGGTGGTGATGGTGATGTGCCGTGGAGTTGGTTCCAACTCATAGCAACCCTGTACAGGGTTTCCGAGGCTGTAAATCTTTGTGGGAGCAAAAAGCCTCATCTTTCTTCCCCAGAACAGCTGGTAGTTTCCAACTGCTGACCCTGAGATTAGCAGCCCAACTTGTAACACTACACTACCAGAGCTCCTTAGCGGCAGTCATTAGGATACAATGAATGGTTTAAAACCAGGAGAGTTGTGCACCAGGGTTGTATCCTTTCACCATAATTAATCAATTTGCACAATGAAATAACCCAAGAAACTGCATTACATGTAGAATAACATGACATCAAGGATCAGAGGAAGACTCATTAACAATCTATGATTCGCAGGTGACACCGGACTTAAAATTCTTACTGATGAAGATCAAAGACTACATCCTTCAGTATGATTGTATCTCAATGCAAGGAAAAAAAAAATTCTCACCAATAAATATCATGATAAATGGAGAAAAGATTGAAGTTGTCAAAGACTTCATTTTGTTTGGATTCATAGTCAACACTCCAATGACATATCGTACTAGGCAAATCTGCTGCATAAGACCTCTTTAAAGTGTGCAAGAACAAAGATGTCAGTTTGAGGACTAAGGTGCGCCTGACCCAAACCAAGATATTTTCAATCACTTCATATACATGTGAAAGCTGGACAATGAATAAGGAAGACCACAGAAGAATTGATACATGTGAGTTATGGTACTAGAGACAACTACCATGGGCTACCAGAAGAACAAACAAATCTTTGTTTGAAGAAGCACAGCCAGAATGCTCTTTAGAAGCCAGGATAGTAAGACTTCATATCTCACAGTTCGGACATGTTATAAGGAGGGACCAGTTCCTGGAGAAGAACATAATATTTGGTAAAGTGGAGGGTTGGAGAAAAAGAGGAAGACTCCCAATGAGATGGGATGACACAGAGGCAGTGTAGCAAAGGGCTCAAATTAGCAAGAATTGTGAGGATGGCACAGAACCAGTCTTTGTTTTGTTCCATTGTGCATGGGGTCACTAAGAGGAGGAACTGACGTGAAGCCCCCTAACACCAACATTATAATATGCTCGTGGATTTTTTTTCATCTGCGACATTAACAGAAGAGTGAAGTCCTGTGTGGTACTGTGGGATAAAGCACTGGAGTGCAAGGTTGGTTTGAACCACAAGATCAGCAGTTCTAACTCACCAGCTGCTCCTTGGAAACCCTGAGTCGGAACCAACTGGAAGGCACTTACCAACAACAGAATAAGCTCCATCGGCGTACAGAGTGTCTCTTATTTACCACCGTATCCTCTGTACCTAAGACTTAACACATGCTCTAAATGATAGCTAAGTTAATAACACACTCAACCAAACCCACTGCCATGGGTTTAGTTGAATGTGTTATTTTTTGAGTGTGTTTGATTTGCCGTGGGTTTGGTTTGAGTGTGTTATTTTTTGAGTGTGTTTGATTTGCCGTGGGTTTGGTTGGAGTGTGTTATTTTTTGAATGTGTTATTTTTTGAGTGTGTTTGATTTGCCGTGGGTTTAGTTGGATGTGTTATTTTTTGAGTGTGTTTGATTTGCCGTGGGTTTGGTTGGAGTGTGTTATTTTTTGA